CGTGTCATGAGCACCTGGCTAATGAGAAGGGCGGCGCAGATGCTAAATATAGATTGCAGGATATTTACACACAGGGCAGTGGGGAAATGCGGCCCAGTTCGGCACCGTTTCGGGCCTGCCCGCAATTGGTGAAAAGAGACGTACCAAAATCAACACGCGCAAGAAGAAGCAGAAGCAGAGCAAAACCTTTCAAACCGCTCGGTGGAACTTTCAAGTCATTTTGGATCCCGGAAGTCAAATGCAAGCCGAGGTCGGGCGACGGTATTCGGGGCTGTCTGATCAACCGATCATTCGCGCACAAATGTGCGAATTGGATTGACATTCTTTCCAATGGGAAATACAGTCAAAGCTCGGTTTTCGTCCATCATCCGTTCCAGAAGGCTGTTTGAAAACCGAAACCACGCTTTAAAAAAAAAAAAAAAAAAAAATGTTGCTTGAACACGTCTGCTCACAATGGAAAGGACACGAGGAAGCGTCACTTCCTCCTGTAAGGAAGGCGAGAGGAGTCAAGTGGTGCATTCAAGCGCGCTCAGTTTGTTTGAGAACGGAAATTTGTTCGTCCTCCGAGGCATAAAAAAATCGAAATTTTTGGTCAAAAACCGAATCGGTTGAGAAGCGAGACGTTGGAAAAGCGAGGTTTGACTGTATTGCCTTGGTTTTTGTACGGTTTGGTTTCAGTCAGACTTTCTGGAACAAACTCATTCGGATTTTCGTGCCAGGAGATGCGACGGAAAACAAACTTGCTTCCCGAAATGGAGGGTGGGCAGCGCGGCGGCCTTCTTGTCACAGTCGCGAGGCTTGAATTGAATTGAATACCACTTTAATGTCATCTGTGCTGTACGTATGTTCAGCACAGATGAAATTTCTTCCCTCTCAACATAAAACAAGAGAAGGCTTCGAGTCACTTCGGCGTGAGTTTGTTTGTTGATGCCCCCCAGCCCTCGTCCCCTACCTGAGGTTGTTCTTCTTTCACGAGGCGCGCCGCAACCCGAAGGCTGGCAGCCCCACTTGACTGGCGAACGCGTTGCTCTCACTCCCGGCACAGCAGCTTGACAACGTTGCGACTTTTGTCCGGGTGCAAAGTCAGCGACCGAGGGAATCGATCCCATCTTTCGCCGAGCCCCGCTACCCGATCGAGTAGGCGCCAATCACTGGACTTGGAATTCAGCCGCGTTCTTCAAGTGTTTGCGCCCTCTGTCTGCAGCGCTGGGAATGCCGCTCGGGTGCCTGGAATTGGCGACCGCCCGTTTCCTTTGGAAAGTCTCATCTTGGTTCCATGAAAATGCCGGCAGTCCACTTATCTTCCCCTTTTGTGGACGTGTGCGCAATACGTCGTCAATCTAATCTTCCTTCAAAATGGCTCGCTCGCGCTATCTTCAAATATTTGACCAAAGTCTCGAAGCGGTCGGATTCCACGAGGACAACAAGCTGGCTGACAACAATCGTAGCATTTGATCAGAAGAACAATAACAAGAGCTTTGGTCAGTCAGAGCCAAATATATGTCCGTAGTCGTGGAGCCCGGTGGTCCTCCAACCTTATTTGCCTCCCGGACCAGTAGAGACGAGTCCGTGCCGTTCGCGGACCGGCGACCTTTTTTTTTCATTGCTTTTAAACTGCTCGTTTTAAAGCACCGGTGCCGACCACAAAGACGATCATTCATGTTTTCTCCACACTTGTTTTCATTCTTTTCAATCCGTTTTATTCAATAGTACAAGAGTGGAAGAAACGGACCGAGCAGAACTAGTGATCACGTCAAGCTAACTTTGAAGTTGGGATCGTCCATGCGGCGTGAGCGCGGTCGGTCGCTCCCACTCGGACGACGCGACGGATCGCCGCCGGCGAGCTCTTCGCGACTCACGTTGCCGCGGGCAAAAACCGGTGGCGTTTTCACGCGTTCCGCTTGAGCGCCTCGAGTTGAAGCGATTCAACGGGGTTCTCGCTTGCCGCGCCCCGTTTCGCACGAACGCTTCCTCCCTCACGTCGCCGGGGGAGGAAGCTAACTCTCTTGTCCGAATCGCTTCATCCTCGGAACTCGCGGCCCGCGTCGGGCTTCTTCTCTCATCCGTTGTCGATTTCAAGTCCCAAAGCAACGTTCGAAGGGGGACTCGCCACTTTTCCGCCACGTCTGCCCACGGCTCTGAGCAGCCCGGTACCGGTCCGCGGACCCGTTGATCGGGGACGCCTGATCTACTCGAATAGCTTGAATAATAGTCAGCGTCTCTGGTGAATATGATGCCCCCCGCCCCAAGGTTAGGGTCCTACTATTAGTCGAATATCGCTTGTGAAGATGTTGGCGGCACAGCTGCATGTCTGCTTAGCGCGCAGAGATGAGGTGTCCGCACCTTTTTTGAACGTGAGAGTGACTTTTTGGGTCCCAATGAATGCCGAAAGAAGAAATGACCTTTGGTGATGTCACTGTGCCTCATGAATGACAGTCATCCGTGTCAATCATGTGAATGAGTGAACAAATGAGGTCATGCAAGACTGGTGTTTCCATTCTCTCTGAAAAAAATCACAATGTGCCATCTTTGCCCACGGGCCGCGGGGGCGGGTCCTCGGGGGCACCGCGTTGGCGACAGATGTCATGCAGCGAGACCGTATGTCAACAATGGAAGGCCGTTCCAACGGATGGAAAAGTCAAACCAGGAAGAGTGAAATCGGTGCTTGAGGGGGACAATGGGAGGGGTGTGGATTCTTAGGCGAATGCCTTCTTTTCTCTTTTCATCTCCGCGTCAAGAGGTAGCCTTCGATGCAAGCTTCAGTGTAGTTACTGCTTGCGCTTTTTTTGGGGGGCGGCGCAGAGAGCGGAGGACGCAATCCAAAGAGTTTGCCGGCTTCGACGTGTCAAATAGACCAAACGATGACCAAACAAATAGCGGACGTGAGGACCTCAGGCAAGAGCACAAATGACACGAGAGAGAGAGAGAGAGAGAGCCCATGCAGGGTTTACAAAAATTATTTATAATATGATACAAAGATAGGGTGTGCAATTCGTGGCTGTGAAATCTGTACATTATGAACACGGTTGCGACCTGAAAGCGCCAACGCGGCTGTCGGGCAGCGGCTGCGTCGCGCCAACGCATTTCCGCTCCACTACAAAGGCTGGGTGGTTCAAGAGGACGTGCGCCGTCGTGACCAAGCCGATCCCACGCAAGGCGGGACGCCGAGTTAACCCCCCCCCCCAAAATGTTCAACCTCCATTTCATTGAGGACACTACAAAGACAAGATATTGACTCTTTTGATTGTTTTGAGCAAATAATGACGAACTTGGAGTGTGGTTGCTACGACACCTTCCAAGAAACGCTGAGCCGGGCCGGGTGGACTTTGTTCAGCTCTTCAACAGAGTCCGGTGTGGCCATTCACCGCTCGATCGTGCGTTTTCGATGGGTCCGGACTGCAGGCCGGCCAATCTCTTTGACGACAAAGCCACGCTGTTCTAACTTGCGCTTTGCCAATTTGTCAAGCTGGAAAAAAAAACATTTAAAAATTGCATCCGTGGAAAAAACCCAAAACAAAGCGTTGCCTGGATGGCAGCGAAACCTGTACGAAGCGTCGCTTTCAGGATGAACGGCGCCTTCGCCCGAGTGAAAGTTGGCCACCCTCATCCCATCCCCGGTGCTGCCTTTGGGCAATCTGAATGCTTCTTTTCCTCTTTGACCCGGAAGACGCCGTTTCCAAAACCGATCGCGGGATCGTCAGACCGCGGCAGACTTCCCCACTTTCCGTCAATCCATCCTTCCGCGAGCTGGAAAGGCTTTTGCTTCGCACGGTCCCGTTTGAAGTCGCACTTGGGGCCGGATTGACGGACGTCGCTTTTCCGCGGTGCTCCCGGGCCCGGGTGGCGACCTTTCAGCGGAAGGTCGCGGGCGTTCAAGGTTGGTTTTGGGCCTCAACGCTTCCATGCGGCGATGAATCCCCGAGGGCCTCGCAACTCCACGTTGAGGAAGAAAAGCGTGGGAGTGGTTTGCGGCGCGGCGCTTCGCAAAGAGGCGAACCGGCTCCGTCTTTGCTCGGGAGCAATGACCGAGCGAGTCAGGGAAGGTCCTTTGAGACGCCGGCTCACCTGCGGGATGTTCCCGACAGGGGTCGGGGGGGGTTCGATGAGCATTCCTCAACTCTGGCCGTCTTTTCCGCAGCCGTACAATTGGGCGTTGGGGAAACGAAAAAGAAAGCTTCCCGGCCGGCTGAAATATCTTGCCTTTGTAGCGTATTCAGCGAAACGCGGACGGACGGTCGCCGTCTCGTTTTAGCGCCGAACCCGGCGTCCCGCCTCCTTTGGACTTGTCGGGATATAAAGTGCAATGGGGGCGAACGGGCCCGAAGTGCCGGGCGACTCGAGTGTCAAGTGATCGGCGGCCAAGCTACGGCGCTCGTCGGCCACGCGTGCCGGGCAGATGGGAGAGAGTCGCGCAACATTCTTCTCAAAAGCTAGCAAAAGGCTTCGCGTCCCCGCGCCATCTGCTGACAAGCGGCACGCGGAGCCAAGTGAGAAAGGTGGCCGTACGATCCCCTTTGACACGACGACAAATGGCCGCGTCCGAAGCACGCATAGCACCGCGGGCTAATATCCGGAGCAAAGAAGAAGAAGAAAAACAAAAAGCAGGAGGTGGATTCCTACCCGAAGAGGCATACGAGGTCCTTTTGCATTAGCGACAGAGTAAGAAAATATACGCACTTGGTTAGTGACTACTTTCCGACGTGGGCCCCGGTTTCGGCTTTCCGCGCGAAAGGCGCGGCGGGCGGAGACGGCGCCCTCGCCGTCGAGACGACGTGCCGGGCGTCGAGCGGCGCGTCTTCCTTGGGGGAGTCTTCTCAAGTCTGCTGGGAACCCTTTGCAGGTCACGGGACGCACACACACGCCACCAACGTGACTCTCGGGCGACGGCAGACAAAAGGCGTCGACGCGCTTACCGAGTTGGTCCTCTTGCGCTTCCAGCAGTCGGGATTGAGGCGCTTCTGCTCCTCGGCCAGAGCCTTGGCCTCCATGGTGTACGAGCGCCGCTCCTCGCTCTTCATCTTCTTCCACTTGTCGCCCAGGATGACGCTAATGGCTCTGCAAGGCAAGCGGGCGGCCGTGTCTGGCAAACCATCACTGGACCGGGGGGGCGGCGGCGACTCCCGGCTTGGCGGCGGTCTTACCGGTTGTCCTTCCCCGGGTACATCTGCGTGTACTCCACTCGGTACTTCTTGGCAAAGAGCATGAAGGCGTTCATGGGCCGCTTGCATTTGGCGGGCGCGGCGGCCGAGGCCTGGCCCCGGGCCGACCGGCCGCCCGCCGACTGGGGGGAGGCCGAGCGCTCCGCCTTGTCG